GAATCACCAGACACTAAGCTATATCGCCATTTTTACTAGTTTTTTTTCTGTATCCCCGTATTTTAAGCTCTCAACTCCTTCGAACATCTGCTTGTAAAGCTTTTAAATTATTGCGTTTTAAAATATAGACCATAAACCAATTGTAACTGACCTACGTTTCGTAAGAATACTGTATGTTAACAAGCAATTATGATAAAGTTTCCGATTCTCTCGCGTACGGCCATAAATACTCGATTACCCGTGTTCTTTATTTATTCCAGGAATTTCTAGACTATTGTGCAACAGCTGCACATGCCAGGGGTAAAAGCCTTGGATTCGTTGACCCTGTCGCCACGACTGGTCGACCACCTCTTTGGCGCAACTAAAAATAAAAGAAGGAAGACGTTATACAGGGATGCATGCATTCTAGACTGTACTTGCGGGTGTATGGGATAAAAAGAATAAAAGGATGGCGCGTTCAGTGGCCTGAAGTATATGACCGGAGACGGCCGTCGACTGTTCTGAGCCTTCGCAAAGAGTAAAAGAGGATAGGCACTCACGTCGGAGCCGCCCGCCGAACTCATTGACAAGCGTGCCTCATTAGAGGTCCCATTGATTTGACTCAGAGTGTTGCCGACGCGCCGCAATAAAGCTATTGACTTGGCGATGAGAACTAATGAGACTTACATTCCTAGGAACTAGTTTCACTATCAGCATTTTCGATCGATTAACGATCAAACAAAAGGAACGTCGGGAACAAATGAATTTAGACATCTTAAATTAATTTAAAAGTGAACCAGCACGCCTTTGGATAAGACACCTTGCACCTGGCAAGCGACGAGTTAAGTCTATTAATATGAATACCCTGAACTTAAGGACGGGGAAAATTCCGTTTTTAGTTATGCACATTCGAAGGGTTCGAACTGAACAAAAATGAGATGAATAATCTCGCATTAAGTGAAGCCTACGATTTATTTCGTGTAATTGTAGATAGGTAATATGAAACATTAATTTAATTAACATTAATATCAAATTGTGTACATATTGCCACATCTTTTGGTAAGTTCATTGTTTAGTTTTAAATAAATAGGACAGTCTACAGAACCCTTTGTAAGCGTATACTAGTTTAATATCGCTACAAGGATAAAACATTTAAAACTGGTCAAATATTGAAATGAAGTAGGAAACATTGCGGTTGCTATTATAAAAATGATATTTTCTCGGTATTATCTTACTTGAGCGGATTTTGGTGTATCCTGTTGAGAACGATATCTGAACAAAAGACTACTTTGTTGTAGTAGTAGTGCTTAAAATAAAAGTAAAGCTGTAAAATAAAATTTCCAGAACAATCGTTCAACGTTATAAATTCGTATCGTATTGTATTAATGATGATGTTTTGTTTAGCTAGGTACCTACTCGTATGTCAGTTTAATGTTTCCGAAAACGCAATAAAATTTTGTGTAGCAGTAAGGAATCCGCCGATATTATTTATTTACAAATGAATAGTCCTCTCAATGCGACTCAGGATTAGGTTTAGGAGGCTGCGCGGGGCCCAAATTCCAACTAATATTTTAATAATAATGAAGTTAAAGGTTGTAATTTTTTTCTTTATCGATTCTGTTAAATATCGCAAATATTTTACTAAAATTCTGAGAATCTCAGAGTCGTTACTCAGGCTTAACGGCCGAAATCGCTTAGTGGTCGTTATCAGAGGTAGAGACTTCCTACCCTGATCGGCTCAATCGATACGGTGTCCTTTCGAGTCGTTCGAGGTGCGCCAGCGCCGGGCGTCCACCTCGCGGTAACCTTGCGTTGTGTCAGTAACACTGGTCGCGGTATAACTGTACGGTGACTGAATGAGAATAGCAAAAACTTGGCCGCTGCGACTCATGAGCAGAATTTCTTCTCCTTTTTGTCGTTTTGCCTTTTTGCGTGCTCTAGGGCGACGGTTATCCTCTGGTCTACTGAACAATAAGATAATCTGGATTCAACTGTTATCGGATTTATTCCAGGTTTTTTTTAGTCGGGCAACTGTCCTTAGGGTCGTAGTCAACCAATAGGCATTTTTAACTTAAGTGACATTTATGCATATACTTACTCGTAAGAATTCCTGAAACAGACATGGCAGTTCATTTCTTTCACGATCTTAAGTAGGTTTATTTCAAAACCTGTAATGCTATTCTTAAAGTTTCCTATATCATGTTACAGGATTTTGTTTATGTAGGTAGGTACCTAACTATAATGAAAAACATAATGCCATAGCTTTTGAAGACAGGTATGATAAGTGAAAAAACTGGAAATATGGAAAATATGATATAAATTTTGTTGGATTTACGAATATAATAAACCTTCAAATTGCATTTACCTGTTCACACATCAGATAAGAGGTTTACATTGTTCAGTACCTCTAGTACGAAAAACTTTCGAGTTCGTTTCGTTGCGTATTCAAAGTGTCATCGAAAAATTTTGTATGAAAAATTAAACAGCGCCCCCTATATTATTAATTTTTCATACAAAATTTTTCGATGACACTTTGAATACGCAAACGAAACGAACTCGAAAGTTTTTCGTACTAGAGGTACAGGAATGAATCACGCCAAATCGAGCAAAAGTAAAGGCAACTTTCCGCTCAACCTAGTCTAGTTACAAAGTATTTCATTAATGTCACCAATCAATTAAGCATAAACTCCTGTGGGTTGGATTATAATATTGTGAGTGGCGATGACGGCATGGTCGTGGGCGGTATACAAATCGTTTGTGGCAACTGCGTTGTAATTAGTAATCGGTGGCACGTGGACAAGTGGATGCTTACATTATTGGTAGTAGATCGTTACGATTGGCCCGATAAGACTGCGCGGACGATGACCGGCCTTCACTCGCGCGCCGGCTGCGCCCGCGCCGCGCTGCCAGCGACCTCGCCCGCTCGTCTCGCACTCCGCCCAACCTATTCTGCGCTAGAACCATTCAATGTTTTTTAGTTCACCAACACTACCTAACTTTAGGGTCCCTAGCTCCTTACTTTGTACCTACCTAGTGAGGGGTTGTAAAAAATAGGAATACAAATATTTAGCCTCACAGGCATTTTTTCAGACTGCTTGATGGACATAAATTGAAATCAATTGAGGATAAGCTACATTTATTTTCTTTTATTCTTTTTCTTTTCTTTTCCTACAAAGTTTACCTACAGGAAACCTACCGTGTACTTAAATGTTTCTTTTTATTTTCTTATCTTTTAACTTTACCTATACATATTTATTGCTTTGTACATTTTAAGTACTAAATGTGCAACGAACGTGTGTAACTCACACTTGACAGTTTGTGCTCGTGCAACTTTTTATACAGATATCAAAAGGATTTTTTTTTTGTTTCGGATTAATTTATCAACAGCTTAATAAAAAATAACAATTCATTAGAACGAATGACAGCACATTAAGCTAAGCACATGTGAGTGAGCAAAAGGGTATCCCCACGTAGTTGAAAAAGCAGTTATTTTGCTATAGAAATATACATAGTGCTAGTCTGAAAATTTTAAATTTCATCGTTTATTCAGTTTCTTTTATTTTCGAATAACGTTTTGAATTCATTCGCATAATGAAAAATCATACCTAGTTTTTTTTATATTTATCTGACTTAGTCGAATATCAATCCAAAACATTGAAATTGTTGGAACCATCATTTATCATTCTATTTTTATTCGGCTCATTTTTTTTAGACTTTTTTTTTACAGAATTTCTACTTTATTAGGTAACTTATACCCCTAACGTCTTACATTCGAATTCTTCAGATTTAAAAAGCGAGAAAAGAGATCCAAAGCTTTTTCGAGGAGCAAAACACATTTAGTACAGGGACCCCAGTTTTACCTTTATTAAAACCTATCTAAGTAAAAGCTCCGATGAATCACAAACCCTTTACAGAGAACCTGAACTGGTCAAACCCTTGTGGAGATAAATAGGATCATTCGTTTTCGTGCCCCAAAAAACATCTCTCCCTGAAGTACGCATACATCTTCCCATCGTTGGTAAAAGTATTGGTATCAATTTAGCTAACACGCCTTGGTTTCTGCTGACATTGTAAGTAATTATTGTCCTTCTTACTGAGGATATCAAATCTAAGGAAATAATGTCAATCAAGTAAAATATTTGGAAATGCCTGAAAAAGTCTACTGGGTGGAATTTTGTAATGCCACCTGGAGGGAAAATACACTTAATACTATAGATAGAAAATTATACTCAAAGAAAACATTCCTTTATTTTTGAAAAGAAATAGAGCTGCATTCAAAGATTTCCGATTTTTTAATCGAAAATTCTCTACCATGCCATACAATTTTTAGTAAAAAAATTAAAATAATGTAAGATTTCATGGTTTTCCTTTCATTTGATTTATCAAGTTTGTTAGAGAGATATCATTCTTATACTTCACCCTTACGATCGACTCGAAAAATGCAGGGTGTAATTTTTAACAGATTTTAGTTGGTTCGAATCCTGGGTATGGCAAGCAAATTTTTTACCCCGTATAATGCTACGCAAAAACTATGAATGACTCTCAAAATCAGTTTAAAAGACATACTAAACATCAAATCATTCGATTCAATTAACTTAATAAAATTATAAATATACAGATCTACGTATGTGGGTACTATACACATATTGAATGCTCGATAGATATCATCCAATTTGCTACAAAGGATAAAATGAATTATACTGCTCGCTGTTGACAAACGATCGAATACGTAAGCAATTTAAAATTCAAATATTCGGACTACAGTCCAGCTGAATCAAAGCAAAACTACCTGGGTTTGAAGCGAGGTTTCTCAGAATGTGCATTGTGCTTTGACAGCAATGAATGAGTGCGCTTAAGCAAAATATTCAGACGCACCTTAGTGTATCGCTTTAAGTGGAGTCACGCAACGCCATTAATCGCCCCGGCAGTATTCTGTAACGAAAAAACATAAATTTTAATGCAATTTGAAAAACAAATTCATCTTGGGTAGCGGGATACGATTTAATTTTTGGAGGAGCATAGGATAGTCCACTGTGGAGGACAGTCTGCGTGCGTCTGGCCGCTTGAGCAGTAGTCTGTGATTACATCATATTATTATCAAGGCCTACAAACAAAATTGTTGCTGGTCAAAAACTTCTAAGGTAAGACTTCTGTTTTATTTTTAGCCTGTAGTCATACAACTAACAACTTAAACACATAAGTTTATCTCTGTAGTGTAACCAATGACGTATTAGATTATAAACATAATAGTATAGTTATACCTACGCGACATGATTCTAAAAATAAAGGCCGACAAGGCTTATCATCGACCGGACCATTTGGCGCCAATATCAAATATGTCTTGTACGCAGGTAAAATTTAATATAAAGATTTTTATCGCGTTTTCAAGGTGAGGATAGGTTAATTGATTAGATTACGGTTAAACATGACTGTAATAAGCGTAATATGATACTCGCACGATGATGAAGACAATGCTTAACAAATCACGTAGCATGCTTGCAAGTAGAATTTAGTTCTTGAATAGAGAAGGAAAATATAAGACTGTAAGTACTACACTCATTTATTTACTTTAATATTACCTATTATCCTAGCTAGTACAAGGACGTAATATAGTAACAATGTTCATTGTTTGCCTCAAAATAATATGGTTACGTTCATACGTGTAGGTAACTGCTGTAAAAGTTACATCAAACAGCGAGTCCGATGACATAAGCCTAATATTTTTATTGAATTTATTTATCGCTCCGTTCACTCATGGCCACGCTCAATGTTGTTCAGTCGTATGATTGAAGTCAGTCTGAATGATTGAAGATAAAATATTATGCCACCATCACCCTCGCTATTTGACAGGCGCATTAGAAATGCCATTTATCTTTTACCTAAGATTTTCTTTCTGATCGATTTAATGTAACAACTGTACCTTTATTCACAAGGTTATTTTATGAGTATTCGTGTGTGTCTATTCCACAAAATTAGTTAACTATAATTTAATCAAGTTATAAAATAATTTTTCTCCTAAATATTCTTCTTCAAAAAATAAAATACTTATGTTGAAGCAATAACATTACAATTATAAATAATTATCATTAATCAGTTTTTTTTTCTTTTAGGGTGCCATGGATTTGTTCTTCTTATGGCTCATAACTTTGGTTTTGGGTTTTTGGATATTTCGCAAAATAAATCAATGGCGGAATCTGCCTCCAGGCCCCTGGGGTCTGCCAATTTTAGGATATTTGCCGTTCATCGACCGTCATCAACCACACTTAACTTTGACTAAATTGTCCAAGACGTACGGTCCCATATATGGAATAGGGATGGGCAACATTTATGCGGTGGTTCTGTCGGATCACAAGTTGATAAGAGATGCATTCGCCAAAGACGCTTTTTCGGGAAGAGCTCCGCTATACCTGACTCATGGTATCATGCATGGCAATGGTAAGTTACTTTAACATAAAAAGTTTCGACAACAAAATTACACAATTTATTTATTTTTTCAGTTGTTCAGTCGATATTATTCATCATTATAAATATTTTTCCGCAGGAATTATTTGCGCAGAAGGACCGTTATGGAAAGATCAAAGAAAGCAAGTTTCAGCGTGGCTTAAAAGTTTTGGTATGAGCAAGCACAGTGTATCTCGTGACAAATTGGAAAAACGAATCGCTGCTGGAGTCTACGAACTACTTGAAGTATGGAAAAGCTTTTAAATTATTAGAAATACAATGATTAACATACTTATGTGTAACTTTGTACTTCTGTAGCTAAGCATACGTTTTTGATCGTATCAAGGTCTACATTACCGGTCAAATACTAAAAATGACCTTTAACGTACTTGACGACCTTCTATTTACAGTGAACTGTACAAAAACAATAGGTACAATAAGGTATTTTAATAAACACAATTAGTTACATTCACGCTTCGTTACATTAACACAAAGAGTCTACCTGCCCGACAAGACGTAAGAAACTTTTAAATTAATGCCTCTAAAGGTGAAGGTGGATGAGAGCGATCAAATTTAAGCACAAATTCAAAGTTTTTATCATAAGCTCAAACCCACATATTTCTTGAAAGTGACCTTTTAATGTCACTGACAAATGTTGCCGTGGCACGGGCAGCAAAAGGCAAAAACACGATCTCCAACTTTTGGTTTTGTTTTGTCTCACTTTTTATTCACAACCTGTGTCTTAAACGCTGAATATCTGTATACCTACTCAGTCAGTACTGCCTACTTTAGTGTCCTTAAATTATCATGTTAACTATTTCATTTAATAAATGTCTGTTACGATTTGTTAGGTAACTTGTTATATTTTGTATTGTTATTTTTATAATTAAACCTTATTCATGATTCTAGAATGTGGAAAAATCTTCTGGATCTCCATTGGACCTAGCGCACATGCTCACAAATTCTCTTGGGAATGTCGTTAACGAAATTATATTTGGATTCAAATACCCGCCTGAAGACAAAACCTGGAATTGGTTCCGACAAATTCAAGAAGAAGGTTGCCACGAAATGGGTGTAGCTGGTATTGTTAATTTCCTGCCTTTTGTTAGGTTTGTGTTCTTATAACTACTTTCAGTCATTCTTTTATTTTTATCGCTTACATTAACAAGTTAAAATTATATTTTCAGGCATTTTTCGTCTTCAATCCGAAAAACATTTGAGGTGTTGGTACGTGGACAAGCTCAGACGCATAGACTGTATGCTAGTATCATAGCAAGGCGACGTAAAATGTTAGGTTTGGAGACACCAGCTGGAGCTGAGTATTTACCTCATGCAGATCTGTTCGACGATCACCCAGAAGGTCATATTAGATGTGTTACATACAGCAAGCACGCTTCCAATGCAGAACATTTCTTCGATCCTAACATTTTAATCCCAATGGAAGATGAGTGCATATTAGATAACTTTTTAATAGAACAGAAAAAAAGGTATGAAAATGGAGACGACAGTGCACGCTTTATGACTGATGAGCAACTGCATTACCTTTTGGCTGACATGTTTGGAGCTGGTCTTGATACTACATCGGTCACCCTATCCTGGTTTTTGCTTTACATGGCGTTATATCCGAAAGAACAGGTATCAAACATCCTTTAGTATATAATTTTGATAGTTATTGACGTTCCATCGGCAACAGTGATAACTATCCATTGCCTGTCATGTCGTCTCGTTCTATCGCAAAGAATCACCATTTCATGAGAGCGAGAGCAAAAACAGAAAAGGATAGTTAACAGTGTGGCCGTGTGTACCTGTTACAATAATTTTACCATTTCGCAGGAGCTAGTTCGAAAAGAAATTTTGGAAGTGTATCCAGAAGAAGGCGAAGTGGATGGATCAAGATTACCATATTTGATGGCAGCTATATGTGAGACGCAGCGGATTCGATCCATAGTGCCTGTCGGAATTCCTCATGGCGCTTTGCAGGTAAATAAGTAAATATTTATCACAATTAAGTAATGTTTGGAAAGTTCGTCTTTAAGGGCATAAGATTTGAATTATAATTTATGAATAATTGCAGGACACCTACCTTGGAAATTACAAAGTTCCAAAAGGAGCTATGGTGATACCGCTGCAGTGGGCCTTGCACATGGACCCCGATGTTTGGGAAAATCCAGAAGAATTCAGGCCCAGCAGATTCTTAGCGGATGATGGCAGTTTGTTGAAACCACAAGAGTTCATACCTTTCCAAACTGGTAAAATAGTGATTTGTTTACAGAGTTTTACGAAATAATTCGCTCTTGTACTTATTAAAATTTTCAGTTTATGTTTATTAAAGATTTCTTTCTATAAATTACCATGACTCAAGAGGTGTCTTTTGGAGGTTGTTAAAAAGACTAAACAATAAAATAATTGTGGCTTCAGTTAACCAAGACATTGTAAACTCAAAGAGTTTTAATTACTCTCATTAATATCTTATTACCTTCGTCCATAATCACTTCGGTTGGTCAACCAGATAGCAAACCTGTACCCGCGCAAATTACGGCTTCTCAAGTTTTGTACGTTATTTTCAGGCAAGCGAATGTGTCCAGGAGATGAGCTCTCGCGGATGCTGTCATGCGGCTTGGTGGCGCGGCTGTTCCGTCGCCGGCGCGTCCGCCTCGCGTCACAGCCGCCCACGGCAGAGCAGATGCAAGGAACAGTCGGTGTCACTCTCGCACCGCCCGTTGTGAAGTACTATTGTGATGCCATATAGTGTTGTAGATCTTATGAGTATTTCCAGATTCCAGATCAAATTATAAGTAGTTGTATTAATTTGAGATTTTGATACGTATTTTTATAGTGAATTGTCATTAAAGGTTTTAGATAAAGTAATTTTTAGTTTTTACTCATTACCCCAGTAGTATAGCCTGACCAGGAACATAAAAACCCTGGCATAGAGGCGCGTCAATTGCATTTGATAGTGCAACACTGAGTACAGTCGTACCTGTGTTAAATTAATAGGCTAACTTTATGTATCAGGATTCAGGATTACGGGCTAATTTGATATTTTCATAAATTAACGAAAAAATATTATTATAGGTAACCTGGTTTAAATAAATTAAATGAAACCATCAATCGAGCTAGTAGGATTTATTTTATTATTCATCAATAATCAAATTCAGAACTTGAATATTCAACTGCAATGTCTGCTCATGAACGCTTCAAACTCGGTACTTCTTTCCCAATTCCATAAAATTCAACACTTAGAAAGTGACAAAAAACTTTAAAATAGGTAGTTGAAACAAACCACAGCTAATTTTCATAGTGGACTGTACTATACGATAAACATGTCAGTCAATTTGACAACCTTTGTCGGAAACATTATTCAATGAAAATATTGTCCGAACCCTTAGTATTTCTCTTCGACAAATACTTTAACACATTGTGAACCACTTTTCTTTCACGACTATAAAAAGATTTTAGCAATTTAATTCACAAAATCAATTGCGCACATTTAAAATAAAGTTTGTTTACACTTTGACAGCAATAGACTGACATGCAAGGTGACATGTCAATGAAGTTTTCAGTTACTGTTGCCATTAAAAGAAATTAGTACCATTAGTTTTCCGCAACATGGCGAGGGTTTTTATGTTCCTGGTCAGGCTATACTATCTATTTGACAAGTTGTTATCTATATATATAAAAATGAAACCCGTTTCGCGTTGTCACGGCATCACGTGTGAACGGCTGAACCGATTTCGATAATTCTTTTTTTTAAATGTTTGTGGAAGTCCAAGGATGGTTCTTACGGAAAAAAATATTAAGAAAATCTCTACGCTAAGGCGGTACGAAGTTCGCCGGGTCAGCTAGTAAGAAATAATAATTAGGTATAGTACTCTTTACCTATTTATTACGAAAAGTCGGAAATGATACAGCCGGCTATGTTCTGTAGGCTGATGATGATGGTGAAATAGTACTCTTCATTAATACGTCTGGTGTCAGATTTTATGAGCCTCTATAAACATATGTAATGCTCTGCTTCTAATTTAAATTTTCACCATTCGAGTTAAGTGATCAAGATGATTCAACATGTGAAAACAGTCATTAATTTTTTGGATAATTCACACAACATTATTAATGTGAATTAGATATCTTTAACTAATATAATGAATGAAGCTACATCTCAAAATAAAAAGTTTAAAGAAAGCCAAGAAAGGGTATAAATATGTAAACAAGAAATAAGTTTGAATCAATTAATTTATTTTCAACTAAGACCTTCATTTAGTAACTAATGCATAATTATGTACAAAGCTTGGTAAATAAATGGTAATATGCCTACACTAACGGTGAGTTGAAAGTAAAAATGACTAAAGTAAACAAACTGGTGGCAAAAAAAACAGTAATAATTCAGGATAGGGGCACATATTCTCCACCTTCTCCAATGTGACATCGAGTCTAAAATCTTGAGTCACCGATATCTACTGAATCTTACAGACATGGCGACGATTCCACGAGACCGTCTTAGTCTTGACACAAGTCCTCATATCTCATTCTTCAAAACAATCATAATTCAGTATAGACTAAACTTACACAAATTAACAGGACAGTATTTATTTATTTGTAGTTAAAACCTATCAACTCACTTAAGACTAGCTGCAGGTCAATTATGTTAGGGATGTTTCAAACCAATATTTCTTTTCTCGTTCAGAAAAGCTAGATATTAAATACCATTCATTGTACAGTCATACGTACATCCTTGAAGGCATGAGATCACACTCAAAATACAACACTCAAGTAATACCTACTAATAAATAATGATCTAGAATAAACTTAATTTGGTATAGGTACTAGAGCTTAATCAACTTATAAATTACTACAAAATAACGTTTAGTGATGTGTCATTTGCGCTTGAACTAATCTAACTAAAATCTATGAACATAATACTGCAAACACACATTAATATAAACATTAATATAATCTCAACGATGGGAATTTTCAATTCGTTAACCTAAAGCTACAGTTCACATTACAAATATTGAACACTTTTTTGCACAGCCTCGACTATCGTAACAGCGATGTCTTTAATAACTTAAAACTAGACTTAAATAAATGGTTGTCGATGCGCTCTAAAACGAGTGATCAGTGAATACTGGTGGGTGGGTAGCGGCGTTGGGTGCGCGTGCACCGGAGCCTACTAGTGCGCGTGCACCGGAGCCTACTAGTGCGCGCCGACGTGGCGCAGCAGGGGGTGGTCTGGGAGGGGCGCGGGGGGCTCGGGCTCCCCTCGCGGTACAAACTTGACTCGGAATGCCTTCGGCGCTATCGTTGCCCCTACAATGCCTTCCAACGAAGGCAGGGAGTCGCCCTCATGGAGGCATACATCAAACTGATGCATGATGCTCGAAAAGAACATAAACATCTCCATGCGGGCGAGTATGTCTCCCAAGCACATTCGTCGGCCGACTCCGAAGGGCATGAAGTACTCCGGTCTTCTGATCTTGCCGCTGTCATCAATAAACCTGCTTGGATTGAACTGCTTAGGTTCTTCCCACAGGTTTGGGTCCATGTGCACGCAGTTGATGAGCGGCACGACTTGCGACCCAGCCGGGATCTTGTAGCCGTCCAGCATAACGTCCCTGTAAAGATAAGATACATTGTAAAATCCAAAAAAACATAAATATAGAGGTGAATAAATGTTTAACTTACGAAATGTTATGTTTAAGCATGATAGATAGATAGCTTACCTAGTAGGAGAGTGTGTGGTAGCCAAGGGGACGATGCTGGACATGCGAAGCGTCTCAAGAATGGTGGTCTCCGTGTATGGAAGATTTGGCATATCTTCGATATTCGGGAGACGATCCCGGCCGACGACAGCGTCAAGTTCCTCCTGTACCTTCCTCTTCACTTCTGGATTCCGCAGCATAAAAACGATCATCCACAGTAAAGAAGATTTAATCGTTTCCATGCCAGCGGAAAAAAGATCGCCCAAAATTTGCTTCAGTTGAAGTTCTGAAAAGAAAAATAAATAGTTAGAAAATGTTTGCATTTTAAAAATTTGAAATTATATGGCACAGAAAGCAATAATATTAAATTAATTCAATGATATCGTGTAAGATTCAATTCAAAATTTCCCTTAAACTTGTAACTGTAAGCTGTTTTAGACTTGATAAAATTAGTAAAATCAACTTACCGTGATCACGACCTTCAAATAATTCCCCGGCTCTGCCTTCTGATTTGGCCTTCTCGATCTCAATCAAGTAGACGTCAATCAGATCTCTAGCATTGCCCAGGTCCAAAGTCTGGCGATGTTCATCAATTAGGGTCTGGTAAAATTCAAACATCTCTGCGCGGTTCTTAGCCACCTTTTCTTTGGCTTGAGCTTTCCCCGGCAGATACTGCAAGAAAACAAAATTCTTAGTCATCTTAAAGATTCAAATTTAAATATTCAAATTTCAAGTTTTTTTTGGCATTAAAACTTACGTTGTATAGCGGCACATATTCCCCATAGTGTACCTCACCGAAGAGCCGCATGCCTTCTTCGATGAGGAAATTTAGTCTTTCGAATCTTGCGTCACCATGGCTGAATCTTACAGACATGGTGATCCCGCAGATAACATTAGACACAGCTAACGCGAGAACGGGATTGGCGTCCACTGGCGAAGCTTCGGACCGTCTCAGTGTTGACACGAGTCCTAACACCTCGTCCTACAAAAAGAAAAGTATAATTAGTTTGATTTTTTTTATTAAAAAATACAAATACTGCATTTATTATTGTATTTTTTAATTATTAACATACCAGTATTCTGCCTTCCATGATTTTTTTCCCGTTTCCCATGTATGTCATCCCGAACTCGCGCAGCTTGTCGTGCAAAAACCGACGCTGACTCTTCCAGAGTCGTCCGTCGCTGTTGATGATGCCTGCATAGAGAGGGAGGCGTTTAGTGAGAGTCAGAGTGGGAGGGCACGCCGGCCGGCGGGAGGGTCGCGCCGCCCACATGCCCATGTGCACTGTGTTATCATACCGGCGAAAATTTATACACAAACGTTATCTAACAATACTAACACAAATGCAATTCTAAGATTGAGTTTTTTTATAGTTTTTAATATCATTATGATTTCAGTTATTTCATTGTGATTATTCTGAACTTATTTTAATTAAATTTTCTATAAAAAAATTACTTACCCAGGCCATCCAAAGTGTGCATGAGCGGAGTGCTGGGCCGCCCAGTGAACTCCTCTCTTCGGAAGGCTTCCCTGATGAGCTTGTAGTCACTTAGCACAACAGTCAGTTGATTACCAAGCCGAGCGGAAAACAGTGTCCCGTAATGGCGTGCGAGTTCCAAAAAAGTCTTATGCCGCACGCCAAGAAACGGAAGGTAGCCGACAACAGGCGGGCCCCACGGGCCCGGCGGCAGCTTCCGTATCTCCCGCAAAACCAGAGCCAGGCGCAGCACCAGTAATAGAGCGCCAATGGTCAGCAGGAGAGGTGTCGACACACTGTTTAACACTTGGTACAAGCCCCACAGTATCTTGGATTCAGCGACGAAGGAGAACATTTTTAAAGTTTATAAAGTCAATGAAAACTAGAACGAGTGAAAAATATTAAAATATTTTAAAATATCTTTATAACATTAACACACGTAAGAATACGATGAAACGATCAGTTACACAGAAGTGTGTATGTCGCGTGCGACCGTCGTTTGCGCACTGAGTTGCGGCTGGATGGCCTTGCGAATAAATACGCGCCGGGGTAGTGCGCATGGCTCGCCCACTGGCGCGGGCGCACCTCTCTCCGCGGCGATTTTCCGCCGGCCGTTGCGCTACGAGTTTCGTAGCACAGCCGCCGTAGCTCGTGTTTTTTAATGATAACGACTTTAATATTTTCACAGTTTAGTCTTCATCCTGGGTTTCCATTTTTTCTAGTAACACGTGTAAGTGTAGAATGGTTCAGAAAATCGTGTTAAAGTTAAATAGGTATTGCAGTGCTGAAAGTGCAACGTAAGTTTATATTGGCAAGAATTCAAGAGTGTTTTTTGTTGTGCCTGCATTGCGCTCATCCTGAATTTTAAGCGTAGTTGTCTTTGAGAGCAACCTTAGCGTTTGTATTGATGTCAGCGTGGTTGAATTTCGGCGAGGGGTAAGAGGGGCTATCGAGGTCGCGCGGGTGCGCATGCCGATGATAAGATTAACAAATTGCGTAAGTTGAGGCAAGGTGACGGCGGGTCGACGACTCGCGAGATGGAACCTTGAGCGAACATCGGCCACTCGACCTCTAACACCCGAATTTTCAATAGAAAATGCTCATTGGTATTTTAAATTACGAGCGATTCGGACGTAGTAACAGCAGTAGGAAACTTTAAGTAATACCAGAATACAAAAGGCACACGAAAATTAATGAAGTTTGATAAACGGCTAAGGTATTTAAAAAGGTTCGTCATCTATGGTGCCGATAAACTAATTGAAATAATATTAAGTTATTAATATTGTAATGAATGAATACTTATAAGTACTTTCTATTCCAAAGTTCAGTCATGTATGTATATGTATAAAAGTTGTGCAACTAATTATTACGTTTCTGAATGAGCTATCAATCAGCAAGCACTACGACAACATATTAAAAATAAGTAATTAAATGTAATTAAATTGGTACTTTTCATAAATCATTCTTGGTTAAAGGTCAATAGATAACTACGTGGCTGCTAGTTATTTCTTATAATACATATTTTTTCCTACAATTTTATTAGTAGCTACTTACGTAAATAAATATTTATAAGTAATTAAGTACCTATTTATTAATTATACAAACAAATACTGTGAATTTTATTGAAAATATTTAATATCGACAAGGAAAATAGTTAATAAGGATTTAACATTACGGTCAAAACCTACCTACATACTAACTCGCCTACATAAGTACTTAATAGTTATGGTAAAATTAATTAAATAGAAAAATTTGGAGGGGAACATCTATGTATTATGAAAGATCTGTAGATTCTTAAACATAAGTTTATATTATGGCCACCATACCGTACAAGTGCCGTGATATTAAAAAAAATGTAAGCTTTACTAGGCTAGTTAAAACGTTGAACCTGAAATATTTTTCAGCGTTCCTTGTTTGAGAAAATAACCGATATAATCATTAAGTAATTAAAAACGAACCGTAATAACTAATTCTGAATTCATTATGGCTTATTACATTCAGTTCTAAGATAAATGCAAAGTAGCAGAAGTGAAAGATAGTGCGCATGCGCGTGGAAGTACATACCGAGAAACAGTTGGTTTCGAATAGGAAAAAAACCGTTTGACACACAAACCCTTTTTACCGAACATTGCCCATTGTAAAAGTCTGTTCGAGATACACGATGAAACGACATTCCACTGCATCAAAATAGTGTCAATGAATCTCAAAAGCTGTTTAGTTTAGAATCTTCTCGAATGAATGAAATTATTTGTTTTGTTACTTTATTGTATGATTTATTCTTACTTTGTATTGTAAAAGTAATAAGACTATAGTATAGACATTTAACGAATTCTGAAACTTAGAAAAAAGCCTAAAACTTTCAATCTACAAACCGATAAAACTTTAACACGCTCAAAAGTTTAAATACGATTTTTGTATTTCATGCTGTCTTTAAGGTTCGTGCCTATTGCATCATTGCGTGGTCATTAGTAAAATAGAAGACATAAATTCACATTGGCACGTGCTTGGCGCATGGCATGCCCTGTATGTATTTTTTTATGAAACAAATACTTAGTGGATACGCAGGATTATCCTCGGTCTCAAAAATACACACATGGGAGCGCACCCACCCTGCACGCCTCATGGTGATGTAAGTATATCACAATAATGTAACAAGGTGCAACGTAATTATTGTGGTTATTATAGTATTCAATTATTATTTAAACGTACTACGTGACGTGACCGCTAAGCGAGTACGTTCACAAAATAAGCACAATTCAAAGCTTTAACGTATATTTACATGGTCACGTGGTGTGTACATGACATACCCTTTAAATGTGCGTGGACCACGGTCTCTTCAAATAAGCACAAGGCTCCGTACACACCACGTGGTGATGAACCGAACAACTATTTAGAGACTTCTACGCAAGTTAAACACTTGGAAACCTTTAAGGTAATCTCCACGTGGCCACGTGACGTGAGCATGGCATTCCCTACACGTCCATGGGGCACAAAAGTACTTGTGCTGGCCTCTCTGAAGAGAGATACAATAAAAGACGGCCACAAGGCATCCCACACACGCCATGTAGCCATGTGAATTTAAATTAACGACCACGCTATGGCACAATGTACATAACCTTAAAAAGTCATGAAAAATATGGAAATGCAAATGGAAACCAAAAGGATAAAGATTGTTCTAGTTCCTAATATTAATCCTAATATTCCCTAACAGGGGCCGTACCATTAACTACAAACTTGCTGTAGCTGTGAACAAAATTATTAAAATGTCATCACAACTCCTTTGAAAACTAAACGCTATGATTAACAAATTAAAAAATCACTCACGGCTTAGTTTAGTTAGTCGCCTTTATGCCACGTATGTAAAAAAATCTTCACTTGGAATTTGTTAACGTCTCTTGTGAACTGCTATCCTTGATGACTGCTCGTTCCAAAAAGGACGATCTACGGGACGATCCCCGCTTTTATATGGACCGCACACCATAAACTATTTTTGACCCACCGTCAATATTAATAAAAAATCTAATACCGTATATTTTAATAACGTTAAAGCGATATTCGTTATTTTAATTCGAAGGGATATTAAATTGCACATTGATTTTAAAATAATGTGAACTGATTTAAACTAAGTATACCTATCAAAATATTCTAGTTTGAAGCCGATGATACAGTTACCTGGTATGCAAAATTTGGATCACCGACAACTTAATGCATTAGGAAATATTTCTTGAAATATACCAACAGATAGCTGAAAGTGACCGATAAAGCATTTTGTCCACACTTAGTTTATGGGTGCTGTAGTTGCGTAAATAGACAATGGCTGGAGTAGGGCCACTGCTGGGGGCATATCTTACTAAACAGCCGGCTAAAAGCTTATTTCAATAATGGCGTTTTGTAGGCTATCTGCCTTGGGCGACTTATTCGTTTCTATTGTATTTACTTCCATTATAGCGAAAGCTGCTTTGAAAGGCCCGTTTGTAGATAAACAAATAATTTCTTAACTTTAGCCCTTTGAATCGAGTTTTTCCTAAAACTAGTTAAGTTCACACAGGTATTCCGTCAGTTGCAAATATTTTCTTTTTTAAAATATTTTTAATATCAATTTGTATTTAGTCTGTTGTTACAAAGTCGGTACTTAATTTATTTTAATAGTTTTTGTTATTGATTGAATGGAAACTTGTTAGTGCATCTGCAAATTAATTAGATTTGCGATAAGAGTTCAACAATGAACGGGATAATGAGTAGTATTCAACCGGCCGGCAAACTTCAGTCGCATGTAGGCCGACAAATCTAAATTGGCATTTGGCACAATTTGGAACTACACTTTGTCTAAGCAATTTGGGCTCTCTACGACGCCAGTGGCGCCCTCAATGCAGCTCTAGCGGTGCTCGTGTGAACGGCGATACTCGGCTAAAAGTCAATGACCGTCCCTTTTATCGGCTATGCACCGATTTATTGCGCTCATTATCGTATTTGACATCTAGTTGACCAACATTTGACAATATTTGGTTGGCCTAACGATTTGTGTGGCGACTGGTTTGAACCGAATGACCGATACATTTATCCACCTAGTTAAATCGTTTAGTACACACTAATACCTACTCTTGTTTAAGTTTATTAGTCGCATATTCGGGTCAAGCAAGTTAGGGAAAACCGTTAGTGGCAGCGCAGTACCTAATTTGTGTCGATAACAGTGTGCTGTTTTTCTATGGCAAATGCCGAAAGTTTCATTTTCAACGAAAATTACCAATAAAATCAAAATATACACTAAAACAACATCAACTTTTAAAAATTAATGCATTAACAGAACTCATCGCACATCAGCGCCCTCCTTCACATTCACAAATTAAGTTGTACAGTGTCACGATTACAATGAATTAGGTTGACCCACAAACAACCTAACATAAAAAATCGTTGTCACATAATTTTACTTTAACTATTTTAATATTTAAACTTACTTTTAATCATACTGTTATTTAAATGAAAATGTTTAAAAGCATCGATCCACAGCCGATTACTCAGTAGCACTAGCGCCCTCTCTCACATTCACAGATTATGTTGTAGTACAGAGTAGGTACGGTACCTACAACTACCCACAATTAAATTATGTTCGCGCTTAAACAGTTTCAATATAGAAATGAAATAAACAATTTGCGTTGCGTATCCAATACGTATTTTTTTAAAATGTCATGTTAAATCTTCATAGTTCAGTTTGTCTACGTCCACTTCAAAATTTTATGCATTAATTTCGTAGGTACCCACATCGTAAATGTTTGGATTCCCATTTCACTAAAATGAATACTTTATCCTAATGTAAGTCTAGTTTAGGCACTTGTATTATTGAATCATCAATTGCAT